AACAACTGAAGCGACACCGCCGTGAAATATCTGGAAAAGTCTCGTGTGGGAATTTTCCATACAGAGCCCGTGTTTAGGTGTCGGAAATGACACAACGGATCTCTTCGCATACGGGACAGTGATCCGTCCCCTTATCCCTGTAAAAAATCTGTTGTAAACCAGAGTTCCACCGTGTAATCCTAGGAGCAATTGATGGTCGACAGATGTAGGGGTCCCCGAATCTGGATGTCAGACGGAGCGAAACTCCAGATCCAGTTGAAGCTGCCGAGAAGATCAGGTACGGTTCCTCGCTCTCGCGTTGTCTGCGACTGGCGCGGTTGGCTCGTGGATGCTTTCTTGTAGTACCGAATATGTTGTGATGGCTGGAGCAGGAGGTGTATTAAAAGGGAGCGTCAATGACGTCGCTCAAAAGAAGAGAGGGGGAGTGTAATGCTTTGTTTATGTGACTATCTGACGTTTGGCAATCAATTTAGAACTTGTCCGGGCCCTTTACACGTGGGCTGGCCTTCGGGCCACGCTCAGGCCCCATCTCTTCTATTGTTTTCGGAATACATGTATTCAGCCTCACTTATACCTTATACTACCCCATTGGACGCCTCGGGACGCAAAGTTGCTTTGGTACTTTTCTTGCACTTTCACGCGTGGACTGGCCTTTTGGCCCAGCAAAGGACTAATTCGTTCTATTCGTAATCGATTCTATGTTTTGAGCCTAACTTAATGTCTTTAACAACCAAGCTGGAGATGCCAAGGTAGTACAAACATTCTGTTGAAGAGCATTAATTCAATTGTTTTAAAATGAGCTGCAGAAATTCTAAAATGAAATCGTGTAAACCTTAGCAAGTTGGTTATTTTTCTACACTTAAATATTATATCTTAAATTCGCAATTGAATTTAATTCATTACATTGATTCTATTGCTTGCGTTTTAAGTAACAAGTACCAAGAGAAAACATTTTTGGATGTTTCGACCTTGAATAGTTTATAATACTTGCTGTTGTAGGAGGTAATTTAAATGTGTGGAAAACTCTGCAGCTGACCGGTTTCTGTAGTCTACGTCAGCCCTCACAGATAGGAAGTTTTTCGTAAGAGTCTAGATCCATCGTAATTTTGTTTTTATTAGTTTTTATTGATTTTTTTTGGTTACGAATAATGGTCAATACGTTCTTTTTTCTTTGCAGCGTGTAATTGTGTCCATAGCAAATTTTGATGCTAACATGCGAAGTAATTCGTAACGGACTTCTTTGAGTTTGATTATTATACCAGTTAGCTTTAAATTAGTTTAATCAGCTAAAGCTTTTTTGATGGTGTGGCCTCGTTTGACTTGAACCACCTTTGCATAAAGTGTATTAAAAGAACGTCCTTTTAAACGGACTATTTACCATAGATTAAAAATCATATTGTGCTTAGAACTCGATCTAGGCTAGCTAGTTTTCTTATACGCATTGTTGCGCATTAAATTTAATATTTTGGCTTATTTAGCCTACCGAGTAAACCATAAAATGCATGGTCCGCAAGACTACCAGCAGCCAGTAACCTCTGTGACCACAAACCCTCCAGTTGTTCCATCCAAGGATCAAAGTACCAATGTATTTTATGCGTCAAATGGTGGTCAGTTGTTGATGGCACCGCAACTCAGCTCAACTCAACAAGCCCAACAACCATCACATATGTATCCCATGAACGCAGCAGCAATTGATGCCAATAATGCAGCCCTTGCTGGTTTTCGTCGACTTCTGGCCGAATTAAGTATGCTTTGCTTTTGAGTGATGGAGGAATAGCACAAAATTTTTTAACATGAAACACTAGTAAACGTTAGCTTTCCATGTTACTGCAGAGGCGCACTCATCACGATCGCAGATCATTTTTTAATCTAATTAATTATTATGATAAATTAAAATAGCTTCCATCCAAACACATGACGGATACGTAACAATAAGAAGTATGAAAAGTAATTTTTTAAATACTCCAATGTGTCTGAGGATTCCCAGTCCAAATTTGAATTTCTAACATTATATATTTTTAACAAACCTCCTTAGCAGCTTTTCTTGTTGGCATTTAATAAACTATTAAAATTGTATGTACAACCTAGGTTTATCATTTATTAGTAATAAATGTCTTATAACTTCAATATCTATTTGTAAAATCTTGCCATATTGTCCTCGAATTTTCGCTTATGCTGATAGTATATATATTTTTTAGCACATTGCGCACAATAATTCCTTAGTTTTAACCTTTAGAATTCTTTTAGGCTCATCAACACATGCACGGGCGATACTGATAAGTAAAATGGAGCAGTGCTATATGCAATTATTCGATGAATGATAATCAGATAAACTACTACTTTTTAAATTTCATTAAAGTTTCATTTAACAGTTTTAGTTACATTATTTAGAGGCCAAAAAATTCGATCAAATTCGTTTCGCTGCGTACCGTACTGCAAGCAAGTTGCGATACATCCAGAAGCGGACCTTGCGTGAGTCGATTTCATGCCTACCTCTTTTATCAAAGCCTCCAAACCACAAACCATTTTATGTGGTTATACTTTTCATTCTCTTGTGCCTTTTTTAAATGTGGCAACTTTTCAACCACTCTATTACACGGCTTTAATTTGATTAACTCCATCGAAGTGACCAGCTTCTGAACTATAAGGTCTGCCAATGAGTGGTAGTAGTTTTGAGGACACGGCCAACATGTCTCTGCACGTTCCCTGGCGCATTCGTAGACTAGATGGATCTTTATGCAAAAAATGGATATACTCATTCTATTTACCGCTTTGTATGGTAAACGCCTTCCAGCGACAACGTACAAGAGGTTCGACCCGGAGTATAAACGAAAGGAGCAAATAAATAACCTCACTTTCGATGTAATCACTTTGTCTACAAGTTAGCAATCGGCCGGTTCTAGAGAGTGGCCTATTTGGTGTTCCGCCATTTAACTGACGCAATGGGTACCTCGAGCACAAATTGGCGAAGGAAGAACGAGGCGGTTGGAGGAGGAAGAGGAGGGAGGGAGGGGGGAGCCGCAGGTGGCGCATCCAGGTTCATAATTTTGCTACAAATTTATTGGCTTTCTTGGAGAAAATGACTCCTTTGCTAAAGACAGAGGAGAATATATGGGTATTGGCTGTTGAGTTATGGTCTTGCCTGCTGGGTGTCCATTGGTTGGCTGGTTTCCAAGTCTCTTCCTGCGCGTTTACGCAATCCTCGAGGCTGCGTTGATGTCGTCTATCGATTGGTTACCTCGCCTAACCCTAAGCTATCATCATCATCAACACCATCGCCATCGTCGCTACAGTCATTCCCGCAATTGCTATTATCACCATCATTATCAACAACAACAATAACAACAACGACTGAAACTCCAGCGTCACCGCCACCATCATCAGCGTGGCAGTCGAAGCCACCGTCTGAGCTGGAGTAGAAGCTGCAATCAAGGCGCATAATTTCCTTCTCAATTTTTTTGCGCACACTGCAACCAATTAGGAATCGTGTCGCCTTGAGCTCAAATGACAGCCCGTAGAGGGGACGTTTTTGAAGGCGTGCAAGCGCGTTTGGTTCTGTTATTTGGGCGGGAAAATTTAAATCTTGGACTGCTTTTAACCGACTGAACGTCGATAGCATTTTTTCAGTGAGGTAGCGCTTTAAAATAACTTACGCATGACTTGTAATACCAATTTCTCGTGTTCTAGTCGACAAATCATTGGGGTGTTCAACTGTGCTGATGCCAGTGTTCGGCGATTTGAAAATTTGATGTAGAAGGTCAAATTTTTGAATGTCAAATTCCACATTTAGCATGAGATTTGTGCGCTTCCATGGTGTTAGAAAGGCAATTTTTTGTATCGTTTTTCATCCTGAAAATTTAACCGGGGCCACACACAGCCCTCTTGACATTTTGTTGCGGAAGGGGATCCTCCACATTGATTGTTTGCGTCGCTCCCCATGGCAGACTTGTTCCTTATCACTTTTATCTCATCTTGAACAAAGAAAAGTGTGCTGTAACAATAGAGCTCAAGCATGCCCTCCCTCTCTCCCTCCGTATGGACACAAATGTGGAGTGTAATACAAAAAGAGGAAAGCAAAATAGCCAGTTGAAGCTTTACCACTGGAGTAGGCCCGAATCGGTTGTAGGTGTACAACGCCGTATCCCAGCTTCCATTGAGGAGACGTGGAAACTCTGGTCTTATTTAAGCCAGAAAAGTGGGACGGTAGTTGTGTGAAGAGCAAAAAAGTTTACTACGACTTCACATCTTTCAGTAGGTTTTGTTAGAGGTGAGGTTGTGTGTCCACACCCAATCGTGCCTTAATTTGCCAATCCCTTTTTTCTTTCTGCCGTCAGTTAGCAGATGCCAATTTTTAATTTATGCATACATAGGCATCGGTGTGCCTGAAAGAAGTCGGTCTTTTGCCTTATTTAAGGAGGCAGACAATGAGAGATCGGTGAAAGTTCTCGTTTACAGTTTGGTTTCGGGGATATTGCTCGGTGGTCCGTGGTTGCGTCCACTGTGATTCACACCACAAGTGTCCTCCGCAGCGAAAGAGAGATTTGCCCGGCATGAGTAATTGAATCTGTACGGGTGACTGTGTGTGTGTGTGTGGATATATAAAGGCAAAATTTGGAGCGAACTTTTTTCCTCTCAACCAGTATCAAACAGAAGAACTGAAAGAGGAATGAATGTCACTTTAGTATTCCTGTGACTGGGAGAGAAGGAGAGCAGATGTGTGCATTTTTTCTTCATCCCTCTTCTTTTCAAAAAGGTGCTTTTCTTGAAAAGGTACACTTTATTGCAACTTCCCTTACTACACGACTGCAAAAGACGTGCATCAGCATTGCACAATAGTTTTTCCCCTCCCTCCCACAACAGACGAGATCATCTAAGTGAGGGAAGTTTGCCTACTTTCACACAGGTATACCTATTCAAAGTCGCTTAACATTTAAGGCATATTAATGGCCTTCCGGACGCTCTCCCTCCACTTGGCATGGAGGCTGGATGAGTGACATTTACGTGGCATTTTACATTGTGTGTCTAGGGTATTTAAAAATTTGGAACAAAAGTTGTCTGGCATCTCTTTCCTTTCCATGCCTGCGTGGAGCATGCGGTGTGCGGTTGAGAGGATGTTGTATGCTGCCTCACAACTCTCATTTGTCTCACTCATTGTCTTTTATTCTTTCCACAGTCAGTTCCATAGAACTATGGCGTTTACTGGAGACATTTAGGGAGTTGGGATTGCATATGACAGATCCAGCCACCAGTCTTAATCGTCAGGGGACAAAACACCTTCTCAATCGAATCTACACCACAATAGCCCCACTTTGTATTGAGAAGAGTGTCGCGTCAAACGACACAAGTGCTCAACTTGTGACAACTCAAGCCAGTGAGATATTACTAGGATGGCTAACCTACATCCTCGATCCCACCAACTGCGGTCGTCTCACTGTTAGTGGACTCAAAGTAGCTCTATCAACTCTTGCTACTGGAAGGCCAATTGACAAATTCACCTGTGAGTGTTTTTTTTTGTTTTTTTTTTAGCTGTTAGATTTTTGACAGAGGAAAAGGGTGAAGGAGATGCTCCAAAATGATAGGATTGTGGTTTACCTTAAACACCTTTTACATGAAGGCTTTGAAGATGACAGTCTACAACTCTTTAATTTCCTCTCCGATTACTTCCCTTGCAGATGAAATAATTACTACTTCCAAATTCCTCTTCTCAGAAGGACATAGTTAATAAAAAATTGCAAATTTTCTGCTCTACAGGGAAAGAAAAGTTGGAAGTCATTAAAGAGGTGGTGCTTGTCCAGACCCAAAGCAGTAAAACGTGTTCCACTCCAAGTTGGCATTTGAGATGGCAAAAGATTTTGACTTTTTTTTTTATTTACTAATCAACAGATTGGAGAAAGAAAAGTAAATGCAGTAGGAAGAGGGATATTTGCTTATTTATTTTTCTTCTTCTTTTTCATTGTGTCTTAATTTGCAACTCCGAAAGCCTCGTAAATGCCTTTTAGGTTTGCGTGACACACTGGCTATTCCTTCCTCCTTTATTGTCTTTCCCTCCAACCTCAAGCTTCCGCAGTCAATTTTTGAGGGGTTATCTTCAAGAAAAAAAGTAATCTGTAGGTTAGTGAAACTATGCAAAGCAGTCAAAACACTTCGGAGTTAGAAAAAAAGGAGCCTCCAACCGTGGAGGGTGGATAATGTTGCTTTTGTCTAGACATTCACAAATATTCTCCCACACTTAGTTTCGTCCTTGGACCACTTAAAGTATGTCCTTAAAATGCTCTTGTGTGAGGTGAATTTCATTATCCGGCTTTGGTGACCACTCCCATTAAATCATATTACAATTTAAAAAAAGCCCTGTCTTAGCAATATAAATGACCTGTGGCATATCAATTTTCACTTTCTTTTAGCTAAATTAGCTCATGTTCCATCGTTTGTGAGTGTGGTGGCCAATTTTCCCCAGAGAGCCTGACTCTTAATTGCACGCGTACCACGTCCTCCCATCGGTGTAGTAATTTCGTTCAGCCTTTCACAATGAAAAATTTCTGCAACATAAGCGCACATAAAATCCTCACAAAATAGACTTTTGTATAACCATGCATCCGAAGCTTTGATTTATAACACTTCTTAGTCCCCTGTAATTACGCATGCATCCTAGCGATGCTAGTTTATACTTAAACATTTTCACTTGGAATTTGTGAAGAAGAATTTACCATTCTCAGAATTAATGTTACATTTTCCCCTCCACTTATTAAGTGGGATCCGCTATTTCCAATTTTCAACTTTCAACAAGTACTTTAGGCAAAAATCGTAAACGGTGTTGGTTCATTTGAATGCTTGGCCTTATGGTGAACTTTCATACTCACGCCCCTTTTATTAGTGCCAGACTGCAACACCATATTGGTGCAGGTACACATTTCGCCACTTCTTGACGAAACACCGTCACCTGTTTCTCGGTTTGGGCGTCGAGAGGGACAGTATCAGCGTATGTGACGGCATTTCCTTTGCGCCAACCATCTGCCATTGGTTATGTTTGTTAATCGGCCTACTGCAGGCATAAGTCATACTGTGGTGAACTTGAATTTCCACCTTCTCGACAAGAGCGAGAGGCTCATTGAGACCGGATTGTATACAATAAATGTTTTAATTGGAAGAAACATGTCAAACTGATGGAACTAAAAGGGCTACTTACCTAGACCATACAGCGATCGGCCAATTCACTTATATTGAATTCCAGTTTTAAAAGAAGTATTGAAAGATTTAACTTAAATTTTGTGCTACTGGACCAGTTGGCTCTGTTGACGTCCTCGCCTACGAACTTATGCGACACCTATGCAAACATGTATGGATGTGCATTTATTTGGGACTACAGATGATACTTCTTCACTTTTGATGAATACTTGCTGTCATCGCGAGGAAATGACGAGCGCTGCACATTCAAATACTGTTTTGTTTTCCGGTTATAGCGGTCTAGTAAAACAACGTTGTTCATTTGTTATATCATGGGGCTGATAAAAATGCCAAGAATCTTAAATGTTTAACGATCAGTCCAATTTGTGAAGCTCAAAGATGGCAACGAAAATCTTGGAGTCCTGATTATAATTAATCATTTTTCGTGCAAAAAACGTAGTCCTTTCCGACATTTTGGTATTTAAGCTGATTAATAACAACTGCATAAGCTAGCAACTAAAAGTATAACAGTGGTGTCTTCAATGTATTATTCGAAATTCGTAAATGAGAATAAAGTCGATTTGTCCTGTGCCTTGCATTCTGCATGTACTTTACGAAAAACATTTCTACACATCATAGCATATGAAGGAGGTAATCTGTTAATTCGCATTATGGAACATAGTCTCATTTGCAGGTACTTTTTGAAAATACTTTTGGTAAAATTTATTACTCAGATCAATGTCACCAACTTCTTTCATGCATTGGATGAATCTGGATTTTACACCTGTCTGGCTATATC